AAAATATTTTTAACATACATTTTAGACATTTGGTTCAAAGTTAATAATTATCTTAATGACTAATTCCATTTTTAACCTTAAACATACATTTCTTTTACGATTTTAACCATAAATTCAAGTATTAAATTATTAACTTCCATATCTGGTTGAATTTAAACCAAACAAAACCAAACATTTTAGCATTACATTTTTTTTTCTTTTTCTCAGGATATAAGTTTTTACATTAAATATCTTAACATACATTTAGTGGAACCAAACTGTAAAACTAGCAGTGCAAATTGTTACTTCAATAAATTCTGCATTTCATTTCTCAAATGTAAAACTACAGTTAAATTGCAATTAATTGAGCCCAGTTAATGGCTTACCGGTAGTCCTTATAAGTCCTTTTCCATGAAATGCTGCTCTGGAGGCTGTTTGCCTTCCTCAGCTCTGTTGCAAAACCAATAAAACGGTTTGTGGATTCCTTATTACCTGAGTTGAGGATGCTGCTGATTGGGCCAGATTTCTTTCACCTGCTGAGAAGTGCTGCAGAGTGGCACACTAATATGTGTGTGTGTGTGTGTGTGTGTGTGTGCACCCACATCTGAACTAATGGGCAGATCTGCGCAACAGCAACTGTAACTTTATGAGAATAAGATGGGATGAGATTAACGGAGAAAAGAAATGGAAAAGGGGTGAAGGGAGGGTGGGGTTGACTGAAGGTTGACCATAAAGTATAAATGGATAATTAAAGGAGTGATTTGGGTGGTGGCCCAAAACCTAACTTAACCTATTTACTCCTTATATGGAAAAGAAACAGAAAAATGTGTTGAACTATAACATATAATTCCAATAAGATCTGTTGATGTCTGTGGTTTTAATGTGACATAATGTGGGAAGCATCAAGGACAGTTTACACTTCAGAATAAGTAATCAATCATTCAACTGTTACTGACCCCCGAGATGCTCCTTTTTTTAAAGATGGCAACGCAAACAAACAGGGTGTCTGCAAGGCTAGCAAGTAGCAGCTAGTTGAGAAAAATGCAGAGGAAACACTATCTCTGCATTCTCTGCTTCTCTATGGAAGCCCAGAGCCGCCATACTCACCTTTTTTTTCTTCCTTTGCTTTCTCGAGATAATGATATAACTCTCGTTATCATGGTTAAACATTCATTGTTTTCTCGAGATAATGAGATAATTAACAGTTTAACCGTGATAACGAGATAGTTATGTAATTATCTCGAGAGGACAAAGGGAAAAAAGAAATCGAACATGGCTGTTCCCTGCTTCCGTATAGTCCTGACTTAAATCTTATTGAGAATCTGTGGAGGACTAATTATATATATGATGGTTTATGATGGCAAAGAGGCCCTTCAACCTCAGTCTAAGAACTGCTCATCAATCATCAAATTACCCACAGAAACCTGAAAATACTTATTAGCATCTATCAAAAGGGTTTGATTGCTGTAATGATTGTATTGCTTCTTAGGCAGGAAGCATTAATTATTTAGATTATTGCTCCTTTTAAAATGTGTTATATATTTTTTAAAGATACGTGTTATTTCCTATTATAACTTAAAATTCAGAGCAACCATACTAAAATGTTGCGTAATTTCCCCAACATGCTTAGCTAATCCTCAGCCCTGGGAGAAGGCTGAGATTGGCATCATGACTGATGACAGAGAGCTTCATCACTGCAGGCGGAGACAGACATAGCTCTTTTGTATATATATATATATATGTATAACTATAACTGGAGCGTGTAACAAAAGTAATTCCCCTCTGGGATTATTAAAGTATTTCTGATTCTGACTCTAATAACCAGGAACTGGAAGAAGGAAAAAAAAAGCAGCAAAGGGAGTCTTTTCAGACGTTTGGGGGACCTCTGGTCTAAAGTTTCCTACAGTTTAGATGAGTAATCAAGTACTCAAGACAAACATTTCTAGTTTGTTGAAGCTAAAGATGGAGAGGAAAAGATTCAATTTGAGCTGAAAATGGAGCGGGGTGAAGATGAGGATGAAAAAATAACACTGAGGAAGATAAAATGCAATCAGAACTGGATGGAATAAAATGAAAGTCAAGTTGTCCAATTGAACCATGAATGAGCAAAGAAAGGAGAGAAGACGAACAAGGCCAACGCCTGATCTAAACAGATTTATTTTCATACCTCTAAAAATGTTGCTAAAGTGATCATTCTTTTTCTATTTAAAACTCAGAGCAAAACAAAACCAGTACTAAAAACAAATCCTGTCTGAATGAACAAGGAACATTGAGACTCCTTTTAAGTTCTGGCATTTTATGTAATTAATGTACTTTTAAATCCATTTCCTTCAAATTTCCAATAAGCTTCATTTTCTTAAAGCTTTGAGCTTCTCCTGTAGGAACCAGCGACCCGTCTGAGGACCAGCATCCCAGCCGTGTCCCAGTCTGACCTCCAGTTCCAGAGGAAGGAGGCCTTTCATCGCTTTATGGCTGACTTTGAACTTTTTCCATTTTCCTCTAAAACTTTATTTACATTTAAGTCAGCTTTTAGTAGATATTGATAAACACTATTAGACCAGTTAATGCTGTCAATGTTTACCTGTAAAATGCAGCTTTAAGTAATCGTATTTTTATAATTTTTTACTTTACCTTGCAGTTATGGAGATTATACACTGGAAAAAATCAAAATCTAGGTAAGTCATCTTTTCTTAAAATAAGTGCATTTGTTCTTGAATTGAGGAGGTAAAGGAGAAAATGGAAGAAGACAATTTAGATTTAAAATAAGAAAACACAATAGCATGTTCTTATTTCAAGTGCATGTTATCTGATTATCTTATTTTAAGAATAAAAATATTCACTCCACTGGCAAACTATCTCATTTACCTGCTTAAATTAAGGATAAATACAATTAATTTAGGAAATGTTTTCTTTTTTTTAAGTGTCCTGTCTGGCAAGGTGGCAATAAGAATAATTGTCATGATGCCAGAAAGAGCCCAACAGATTTTACTTTCACAAGTGGAGCAGTAGGGCTATCACCAAAGTGTTCCGCTTGTTTTATGCATATAAGTAACTTTATTATAATTATGCAGGGAGTTTTACAGATTATATAGATACTGCAATGTAAGTAAACAGTGAAGGAAAAACAGAAAATGGAGAAAAGATGAAAGAAAGAGGAGATAAAAGGGAGATAATGATCAAACATCTTCAGTCTGCTTCATCACCTGCAAAGAGATGTGAAAAGAACAGCACAACCAACACACATGGTAGGAGACATACAATAAAATAACACCTAGATACTATCGCTGAAGTAATATTATTTAATCTGACATGTATTCTGTACTAGATTGTTTTTCCAATGTGTTTTTATCTTCTCTAAACAGCAAAAACTTGATATCTAAATAATAATTTTTTTCTTCAAATAGGTAAATTTTTCCTTGAATTGAGCACGAAAGTGAGACACTTTGCCAATGAAACGAGACAATTTACATCTGAAATAAGAAAAAAACTATTGCATTGTCTTATTTCAAGTGCATATTATCTATTTATCTTATTTTAAGAGTACAAGCACTAATTCCGGGTAAATACACTTAAATGTTTACTTATTTCTAGATCATTTTTACAGTGAAACATCACCTAAGATTCGTAAACCTCATTGCAAAATCGATCTAGAAATAACTAAAAAATGTCTAAAATTAAGTGCATTTATCCTTAATCTGAGTGAAACAAGGCAACATTTAAAAATTTAACAAAATTGCCTTCTTTTTCAAGTGCATATTATCTACTTATCTTATTTTAAGAGTGCAAATACTCATTCCTTTGGCAACTCATCTTATTTAAATACTTAGATTAAGTGTAAATAAACTTAATTCAAGACATTTTTCAAATCAATCAAATCAGATAATTTTCAAATATGCATTACAGTAAAAATGTCCATAGCTATATTGGTTATTTATTATCCAGGTGCAGTTTTTATATTGTTAAAACTCTTTACAGTTCAGTGTTTTATTGTTAATATTTTAATTCTTCACTATTATGTTATTCTTATACATTTTTCTAAGGGCCACGTTTCTGTGACCATTTTTTCTATAATCATTTTGCTGCTGTAAACACCAGAATTTCCCCATTGTAGGAAAATAAAGGGATTTTCTATTCTATTCTAT